CCCGAGTGCTGGGATTGCAGGTGTCACCAGCAGGTGAGGGGTCTTGTAGGAAGAGACTATATGGGGGTACAGCAAGAAGTGCAGACTATGAGGGCCTCTCCTTGCCAGGCATGGCAGCACCAATGCCTTGATGTAGGATTTCTGGACCATGGGTAATTGATGTCTGTTGTTATAAGAGGCTAGTTATGCTATATATGATAGCAGGTAGGAAGGTTGAACACACACTCAACTGGGTACCAGCTTGCATTGCACCTCTCCTAGAGCTGGCTTGGCTTGAATCTCTGCACTACTGAGATCCATGGATAATGCAGGGCGTCTGGTTCATCTGAGACAGCCCTCCCCTGCTCTCCTATTGTCAGCCCCACAAAGATCTGCCCCTCCTATTAACCCCTCATAGGTCACCAGAAAAAGTATAGGACACCTGGTTAAATTTATATTTCAGATATAAGTAAATGTTTTTAGTTTAACTATGTCCCAAATTATCTATGAAATATACTTACACTATAAAATATTCATTATCTGAAATTTCAAGTTAATTAGATGACCTGTATTTCCATCTACTAAATGGACAGCTCTACCCTAAGCCTTCTGTGGGTAGAGAGCACTGTGTCTGTCCATTCTGCAGCTGGAGACTCAGGCAGGCTAAGACTGGCTTGGTCTCTTCCTGTCCCCATAGGAGGGACAGGAGGCAAAGAACTGATCAGAGTGGGGGGAACGGACAAGGATGCAGAGGGGCTGGCTTCAGGGTCCCAGGACAGAGAAGACTGATCTTGCAGGATGGCACTGAAGACAAGCACAGAGCCAGGCGTGGTGGCACAAGCCTGTAATCCCAGCACTCGGGAGTCTGAGGCAGGAGGATCATTGTGAGTTCAAGGCCAGCCTGGGCTACAAAATGAGCTCAAGTTCAGCCTGAACTGCATAGTGAGACCCAGTCTCAAAAAGACCAAAAAAAAAAAAAAAAAAAAAAAAAAAAGACAAGCACAGGACACTTGGAACACTCAGGATGTAGCTGTGTGACACGGAGTCTGTTCCCCGTGACTGTGTAGAAGAGGCCCATGAGTTTAAGGAAGAGTAAGCCTGCTGAAGAGATCCTTTCTTTCAGCTTCCTTCTTTGTCCTGGGTCTGAAGTCTGGGGAAAGAGAGAAGAGTTCTAGTGTCCAGTGTGACCAGTAGAGTAGTGTGTAGTCTCAGGTGGCCCTTGAGCTGGGTAATTCCAGAGGATACTTGGGTGGAGGGGGGTTTATGGGCTGGGAGTGAGGCACATGTCACTAGCCAGGCAGGGTCCAGGCTGCGCACAAGGGGTGCCCCTAGTGAGCTGGAGTGGCCCCTTGGTAACACAGCTTGCCAGGAGATGGGGCCCTTTTGGGCCCAGATGGGAACACCCATGCAGATCTCTAGCTTGTGCCTGGAAGAGGGTGTGTCATCCAGCCCGAGGTCCAGTGCATGGAAGACCAGGTGCTGACCAGTGAGCCAGCTATAGCAGGTAGTGGGACCAGCTCAGAGTTATCCAGGACATGCTATCCCCTTGATGCCATGCTGGAGTCTGCTGTTCTGAACATTGTCCTTCATGAGAGGTACCAGGAAGGCTGGAATCCATGGCAATCCATAATGAGCTGGAATCTCACCTCACCCGTACTCCCCAGAGAGATCACCAGGGACAGGGGCTGGGCTGGGCTTGGCTGGGCTGGGGCCCAGAACTATAACTCCACTCTTGCTCCAAGGGACACCTGCCTGGGGGTGCCCACCCACTAGGACCCACTGTGCTATAGAATTTCCTGACCACCTATATAAGACAGGCGTTTGTATGGGGTCATGGATATATCATGTAGGATAAGGTGGCCACTGCAGAAAGTCATAGGGGGCTTGAGGAGAGAGCAGGCCCAGTGAACAGAGATGGGAGGGCTGCAGGGCCAGGAAGCAAGGCTGAGGTGTGGGATCTGAAAGGGCCCGAGCACTGGGCCTTCTGAGTTGGGGGAGCTGGCCAAATGTGGAGGGGGCACTTGGCAGGGCTGCTTTGGTGGAGGTGGGGGTGGGTATATTTGCCAAAGGGAATAGCTGAGAAGGACAGGCTGGAGATGATGTTAGAGAGTGAGCTTCGGGCCCAGCCAGAAACAGACTGGACTCTCAGAGCATGGCGATCATTGGGAGTCCTCGGAGGGACACGGTGTGGAGAGCAGAGGTCCTCAGGAAGTCTATGGGGATCGCAGCCTGGTGAATATAGACATTGTGCCCTAAACACAGACAAATGTACCTAAGTGGGAGTGAGTGCTGCAGGTGTCCTCCAAGCTGGACAGGTGCCATAGGTCTGATGGAGGAGGTTGTGATGCCCACTGTCCCCTGCCTAGCCTGCCTAAGTGCAGGGGCCCTAGGCCTCCAGCTGACTGCTAACCACAGGTTGGAGAGACTCCTGACACCCAGATCATAGCCTTATGCCTGAGTCCTTCTACTTCCTACTGGCTGCACTCCTGGGCCACCCCCACCCCCCAACTCTGACAAGCAAAAGCTCTACCCTTAGAAGAAAAAAAAAGAGAGAGAGAAAAAAGAAAAGCAGAATCAAATTTTCCAGAGGCCTGGAGGATTTAAAAAACACATCTGAACACTCTGTACAGTTTAATTAAACAATTTTAATGCCAATTTCCAAATTGTCCTAATGCTTCATCTCCTAGCATTCTGTGTAGCAACAGGAATGTATGCCACCATTGTTTTTAATGCGGTGCTCCCATCTCTTGTCTGCTTTTTATTTTCTTTCCCAGTGGTGTGCCTGTGTCACACAGCAGGGGGCTTCCTCCTTTGCAGAGTGAACTCATCCCCCACTGCCCAGAGCTCAGGTGCAGCCAGCACTGGGGCCTGTGCCGTGAGATGCCGAGCATGGAGCGACAGTACTGGCACAGGGAAATGGGAGCCTGCAAGTATACTTCCCATTGGCCCTCCCGGGCCTGACTGAGCCAGAACTGAGAAGGGGGTTGGGTAGGACAGGTGGAAAATGCCCCTCTATGTGTCTGAGTGGTGCCATTGGTGTGCAAACGGGTCATGGGATACCCGCTGTTGTGGACTTTGTCAGATTAAGATTCTCTTTAAAATATAATGTTTCAAAAGTCTGTGGCCCTTTCTGCAAGCAACTGGTGAGCAGAGCACGATGGAGAGTGATGACTGTCACGCAGCTCCCTCCAGGCCCTCTAGGAACCCAGCCCTGCCCTGCCCTCCCTTGCCACCCCACTTTGTGGCTGGCCTGCATCTGGTTGCCCTGCCTCTCTCTGGGGCCTCCCACTCCCCAGCTCTTTCCTGCCTGCCACATGGCCTTTGCATAGAGCCTCACTTCTGGAGAGCCCTATTGCTCCTCTGGCTGTTTTCTTGTCCTCAAGGAAGACTATCCAAGGCCTATTGCTGAGTGGTAAATGTTTTCTTTCTCTGTCCACACACTAATTTATGGTCTTCCTACCCACTGCAACAAAGCTACTGGGGACAAAGAGAGTGTCCTTGGTGGTCATCACAGCTGTCCTTCCAACTGCACCCGGAGCCTGGCATACTCTCTACCCCAACCCATAGTCGTCGTGCAAATCACTCAGAGCCCCAGCCAGAATCTTTTTTTTTGGGGGGGGGGGCGGCAGGATCTCGCTGTGCAGTTCAGGCTGGCCTTGAGCTCACTTTGTAGCCCAAGCTGGTCTCGAACTTGCAACGATCCTCCTGCCTCAGTCTCCCGAGTGCTAGGATTACCGGCGTGCGCCACCACGCCCGGCCCAGCCAGCATCTTGAACTTTACCACAGGGTTTAACGAGTGTTGAGGAAACGGTGCAGGGTTCTCAGCAACCCCTGACAGGACCCTGCTTTGGCTCTCTATCTGCTCCACCTATCTGGGCTTGCCTAGGTCCCTCTTCTCTGTGGATCTTAATCTAAGTAGCAGCATTAAAATAGTTTTCCTTTTCTTGAAAAGTTCACATAAGCAAGAGGTGCTGCTGAGCTGTACCACTGCTACCCTGGACCTGTGCTCATGGCTCAGGTCTTCTAGGACCTTTCATGCAGAGTGGGACCCTCCTGGTTGGCGTGAGTGGGTGAGCCGCAGTAGCCCAGCCAGGGACCCCATTCCACCACTGGGTGCAGTCTCGGCCCCTGTAGCAGGGCTCCTTGTCTACAGAGTGGGGTCTCCCCCAAAACCAGGGCCTGGGGGTGCAAAAGGCGTCTCTTTGGCAGGGATATGGAGGGTGCCACATGGGAGCTAAAGTTTAGTGACTCAAAGTGGTGATGGGGAAGCAGTCAAGCCTGGGCGCCAAATCCCTGCCTTTGCCAATGCACCAACACCCTCTTCCTCTATCGGTATCTGACGGCCGGCCCACCTCTTCTCTATTCAGCTAGACCTTCAGCTCCCCAAGCAGGGACCCTCTGCTCCACCCGGCCCACGGTTGGGGGGTGTGGGGGGCAGGTACACCGGGGGCGCTCCCTTGGACCCTTGGGAGGGGGCCTCGAACTCCACGACACCTAAACACGCAAGGCACACCCAGGCCCCACGTAGCCGGGGAAGGGCACTCACGGCGCTCTCAAGGCCATGGCGCGCCTCCCACGCTCGCCGAGCCCCGCCTCCTCGGCCGACCCTCGCAGTGGGGGAAGGGGCGGCGCTCAAGGGGCGCCGGGTTGGGTAGACGGCTCTGTGCCCCCGCAATCGAGGGCGGGGCGGACACTGCCGCGGCTCTCCGCCGTACCCGCACCTTCCGCTAGCGCCCCCTGGTGCCACGAGGGCCCGGGAGAGGAAGGTGGGGGGAGACCCAGGGGCACGGGCGGGGTCCACCCAACCGGACCTGGGGCAGGCGGGGTGCCGGGTGCCTGGGGTGGGGGCGTCGTCGGAACGCGCGCATCCTGGATGGGGGGGTGGGGGGGCGTGCCTTTCCTTCCTCTGGCGTCCAGCTCCTATCCACGGGGGGAGCCCCAGCCCCGCCTCTATGCTGGTCCCACCCCCGTCCTCCCCCGCGCGCCCCGCCCCCCCGTGCGCCGCTCACTCCGAAGTTTCCTGCGCCGCGCACGGACGGGCTTGGGCTCTCTCGCCCCATCGCCCGCCCGACCGCGCCCCTGGCCCGCCTCGGCGCCCAGCAGTACCCGGCGCCAGGCCACCGTTCCCGCTGCCGGGCGAGCCGGAGCCAGAGCCACGGTGGGAGCCGGTGCTGGGTGGGCCGGGGGCGCGGGCCGGCTCTGGGCTGGGTTCGTAGTGACCGTGCTGCCCGTGCGATGCCCGCGGGGACGCCGCCGGCCGCCCGAGCGAGGTGAGACGCGGCGGAGAGGCGCTCCGGTTGCACGCCGGGACCCTCGCAACTTGGGTTCTGAGAGCTCCGCCGCCCCCCGCCTGGGCGATGGGGGTGGGGCTGCCAGTCCTTGCGGGGGCGGAGGCGGGGGGGCCGCCGGGGGGGCCGCGGGGGGCTCGCTCGCCTCTAATGAGGGAAGACAAAGACATCCTGGAGGCCGCTGCTATACTCGCGGCTCCACTCCGCTAAGGCGGGGCGGGGGCGTTGTTCCCGACCCGGTCACCGCCCGCTCTCCCTCCGCAGGTGCTGCTCGCCGCCACCATGACCGAGGACGTGCCGGCTGCCGACGAGGTTCGGGTGCCCCTGGGCGCGCCGCCCTCTGGCCTTGCGGCGGGGACATCCCCCTCGAGCCCTGGGGCTCCCGGGAGCTCTGCAGAGCGGGGTTCCGGGCCCAGCACGTCGCCCCCCGAGAGCCCGGCTGCCGAGCGCGGCGCGGTGCTGGGCGCCGGCGAGGAACAGCCCGTCCCGTACCCGGCGCTGGCGGCCACAGTCTTCTTCTGCCTCGGGCAGACCACGCGGCCGCGCAGCTGGTGCCTGCGCCTAGTCTGCAGCCCATATCCTTCCCGGCCAGCGGGTTTTCGGTTTGGGGCGCAAGCTTCCCCGCGTGCGCTCTCCAGCGCTCCGGTTCTTTGCTCCAGCAGCTTGGGGACGTGGGTCATGGGCGCGGGACAATGCTTCTTCAAGAGTGGTGGGTGGGGGCGCCTCCCGGGACCCGAGTGGGATGTCCTGGTTCTAAACCCGCTGGGTTCTGGAGAGGCGGTTAGTCGCCGACGGGGTGAGGTGGCCACAACTCTTGCTTCTCTGCGGGTGGAGGCCAGGGTTGGACTCCCGACTCACGCTCTCGGGACCAGGCTGGGGCAGACTCCTCGCTGTGGACGGGAGGCCAGAAGGGACAGTGAGGGGACAAAGTTTTTCCTGCGCCGTGTACTCCTGTGCCAGGGCATTCCGCGGGGGCTGTGCGCCGCAGGCTCTTGCTGACCTGCTCCTCTGGACACAGCAGACGCAGGCAGTGGTGATGTTGGCTGACAGCTCGCTCTTCCAGCCTGAACTCAAGAGCCTGGGCTGATTTAAGTTGGGCAGCTGCGGTTGGGGGCAGGGAGGCACTGCTGGAGAACCCCTCACCCTATTTTCTTTCTTCACTTCAGAGGAAGAGGCTGCTGCTTTTGGCCAGGAGGGCACAGGCCTCAGAGAAGGTTCCAGAACAGAGTTGGGTCAGGGCCAGGTGCGTTTTTGGGATGCAATTAAGAGGTCTTCCTGCCCTCCCCAACCCATCTGCGCAGGTAGCTTTTGGGGACTGTCTCAGCAGGTTCTGAGGGCCTGACCAGCGTCTAGTGTTGGCTGGCTCCCACAGGGCCCTTGGGAACTGGACATCAGGGTGGTGGTCTTTGGGCTCTGGGCTGGCTGAACCGCCTTAGGAGGGGGGTTCACTTGGTGCTCATAAACTTCCCCTGTCAAGAGTTGAGGCAGGCGAAATGAGCAATGTGTGTATATATTTCCCTACCTTGTGTGTTTAACTGTATAAATATTAAATACAAAAGAGGAATCTGTACCAAAAAAAGTAATAAAGCCCATGTTTCTTTTTTCTCAAATCCAAACACCAAGTGAGTCAGATTTGTCTCTTGCTTGTAAAGGAGAGCTCGGTGGTCCCAGGGACGGCGGGTTATGGCCAATGTCTGCCTCTGCCCTCTGTAGCCTGAAGGCTGTGTCTGGAGGCTCTGGGTGGCATCCTCTGTTGCTGGGGGCTCAGGGAGCAGAGCAGTGGGGCTGACACTTTGGGGTGCCTGTAGGTCTGTGTTCTCTGCAGCACTGAGATTAGAGGTAACCAGGCCACCTTGGTTTGGTTAGAAAGTGGTGTTGGTGGATATGATGATGGGTGACTGGGCATTGCTGGCAGACCTGAGGTGGGGGCAAGCCCAACCTTGTACGGGGCATGTGTGCAGATCAGACTGGGGAAAAGCCAAATGGGCCTCCAGCATTCTCCTGACAGTGTCCCCTTGCAACTGAGGAACCTTGGAGCCTGATCCTGGTGTTCTGGGCTGGCTGTGTCCCTGAGGACTTCCATCAAGGTTGTTTGTTTTACCTTGTCAAGAAGGGAAGGGGGTGGCATGCAGGTGTGGTGAGACCTTGGGGGCTGAGGGCTTTGAGGCTGGCTGTGTGGTAGGACCTGAGCCCCTGTCCGTGGATTGCTTTGTGGCCTGTGAAGGAAAATGCCCTTCTAGCTCCAAGAGGGACTTGGGTGATGCCCATCTTCCTAGAGAGGGTTGGAAGGCTTCAGTGAGTTGTCAGCCAGGAAAAAGATAACGGGCTAGTCCCAGAGGGTGACACTCCTGGCAGGGAGAGGTGGGTTCTCTGCCTGCTTCCTTGGATAGTATCTATGGCTTGGACACTGGTCTTGCCCCCAAAGCACTCTGCCACACTCCCTGCCTTTTTTGCTGTGGGTACCTTAAGGCAACTCGTTTGACTCTCACTCTTCTAACAACTTGTCTCCAGTGTCCTCAGTCCCAGGGAGACTTCTGAAGGGGAGTACAGACCCGAGGTAGTTTTGCTCTTGCCAGACCTTTAGCAGCTTTGCATCTGTCTTTTGGGGTGGGCTCATCTGACAGGCTGTGCAGGGACAGGGCTGACCTCCAGCAGATGCCAGGGCTTGGTGGGTGTGGGGGTGTGCGCCTGGGCCTCAGGGAGATCCTAAAATAAGCCAACACGCATGGACAGGTGGGGGATCGGCTTACTTGGGGAAACCCATGTGGGCTGAAGCTTTCCAAGGCTCTTCAGATTCCTGATAGTTGGGAGGAGGTGGCTTTGTGTGAGGTGTGTGTGGGGGTTGTGTAAGTTTTGCCTTGGACTGTGGTGTGTTCTGTAACCAGAGGGTACTTCCTGGGGCTTTTGTCTACCTGTATCTCCCTACAGGTAGATGCGGAGTTGGCAGGGCCATCCATGGAGGGTGAACTCAGAAAGGAGGAAGGATAGTCTGATTTGCTCAGGGTATGCTGTGTGAAGCAGCTTCTGGTTCCTGGGCTGGTGCTCCCAGCAGATAACCATTGTCTGACCTGGGCTTTGATGGCTGCGGGAACTTGGGGAAGGACCTTCTCTTCTCAATTCTGTCTGGAAGCCACACTCGGGTGACCTTAGCACAAAGATGCATGTGTGTTCTGGTCCTTACCCTGAGAGTGGCCCTTGTCCTAGCCAGTGGTTCTTCCTAGGATGGCCTTGTCTATTGATTTACTCTGCTGTGTAAAAATACAATTGTGAAAGAACTTTTGGGGCGAGTGCTGTTTCTCCTACACAGACTTATTTATAGAGGAAGGTGGGTGGGCCCCGTGTGTTGGGTTATGTTCTGCCCTGTCTCCCCAGGGCTCCTGACTCCCAGCTCATCTGCAATACAGCTGCTGGTGTCCCAGTGCCTGTTGGGTGGGGCCTCCTGGGGATACTTGGAAGCCAGGAAATGAGATCCGAGGTGCTGTGTGACGTTTAGGTATAGGGGCTAGAAGGTGGCCAAGAGGCACCTGAAGTGTGAGATCTTTTAGCAGGACTCTCTTTAAGAGCTCCCTTAGGGCAGGCACTAAATACCCCAGGTCACTGGACTCTAAGGGGTAAAGGACACACCAAGGTCACCAGCAGCTGAAGGGCAGAGCTGGGTTCAGCTCATCCTGGCTTGAAAGTCATTGCTTTGGCATGTCACTGGGTGGGCAAGCCTAATTAAGTCCTCACAACATCTTTTAAAAATTGGTATTTTGAACTGTCACGGTGTTATCCAGTGGTTACCAGGGCCCCAGCACATAGTGGGCATGGCGTCCCTGAGACTTGTGGGCACTGGTCTGGAGGAGGTCAGTCCCTGTCCTGCCTCACCCATTACCTGTGGTGAGAGCTGTCTGTCTCGGTTGTTGGAGGTCCCTTGCCTGGGGATTCAGAGCTGTCCTGGACAGACCCCTTGGCCTGAGCTGGGAGCCTGACATCAGAAGGGTAGGAATGCTCTGCTTGGAGTGGTTTCTTCGCCTCCGGAAGCTTACTTGTCCTTGAGGGATCTCATTGGTGTGTCCCAGCATCCCAGGGCTGGAGTTCCTCCCTTTTCAAACCCATGGGGACCCACTGCAGGGCTGTTTCCCACTATGACAGGAGTGTCTGTTTCCCTGGATATAGGAGCCCTAGGTTGATCCTATGATGCAGCCTTTATGGTCCTTTATGGTCTCCTTTATGGTCCTCCACTGGGGACATGCTCTGTCACATAGAAGGAGTGATGTGGGATGTGGCCTGGGGAGTGATGTGGGATGTCAGCAGCTTAGCTTGGATTCTCTACGGCCTCTGGAGCACGTCTGCCCAGGGAACCTGGGGGCCATCTGTCCTGGCAGTTGGCCTCCGAATGGTGCTTGGGCTGTTGCTGTGCTGAGTGCTGGGTCTCTGTTGGGAGGGGAGAGGGAATGCACATGTTCTCACGCATCCCAAGCTGCTGGCTGGTATCTTGGCTTTCTAAGGGCCAGTCACCAGGCAAGGCCCCAGATGAATTTTGGTTTTGCAGGGTACCCACTGTGTGCTTGATGAGGCCTAGATATGTTCCCTCCCTGCTGTGTTCACGTCCCCGACAGGACTCAAGGGACAGAGAACACAGTTGGGGGAGGAGGCCATTGTGGGCGTCACCAGGGTATCCACTTCAGGGAGCCAGTGGAGTCGTTTGCTCTGTGATGTCACCTTTCCTCGATGGTCTTGTCCTTGTGGTGTGAAGCCACCAAGTCTGAGTGTGCCTTGAAGAGGGGCTTGTGATGCACATGGGCCTCAGAGGCCATGGGAAGGGAGGAGGAGACCTACCCCAGTACAAAGCAGGCCCAGCCCTGGCTGGAACTGTCTGCCTCCCAGACCTGCTTCTGCAGCTCATTGCTGACCGGTTGACCTTGGCATATTTGGGGGAGGCTCTGCCGAGAGTCATTGTGCCAGCGTGTGAGGCATGGGATTGAATTACGCTTTTGGGTAAGGCCTCACTCAGCCTGGGCCACTGAGGAATGTGTGCAGATGGCCCTAGAAGTCACCACTCTTTATAGTGGTGGCTAATTTGGCTTTATTCCTGCCTGTTCTTAATTGTCCCTTTCTGCTAGCCTGGGGCATCTTGGAATGGACAGATTTCCAGAGTCTGGCCAACAGACACATTGGAACCATGGTAGACCCCTACCCCACTCTTGGTTCCCATGTGTGCCTTTTGTGTGGGCAGGAGAGCTATGAAATTGAGGGACCTTCTGTGAAAACCAGACCTTGGTGGCTTCATTCAGCAAAGGTCTGGCCAGCACCTTGTGCCCCCACCCCAACCACACCCTTCCAAAACTCAACAATCCCTGCAGTTGTAGCAGGTGAGGACCCTTTCGGAAGTGAGATGGGTTGAACAGGAAGCCATTGGGTCTTGGCAGACAAAGAGATTTTTATCTGCTTGATGAGCACTGAGGCTTGTATGTGGGGAGGCTGGCAAAAACGGGAACATCCAGGCAGAGGAACAGTAAGTACCATAGTCCTGTGGTGGGTGGGAAGTGTAGCTGGGGCAGGTGGGCCATGGGGAAAGGGCCAGGAGAGCCTG